ATTACACAAACACAATGAGGTGAAAGTCCTGAGGATAAATGTCAGACCGACACTTTGACTCCATCATCTGGATCTGTTACACTTCTTTTTGGATCATTTCTCGCATAAAAAACTGAAAATTTGGCACAGAACAGACACAAAGAGACAAATTCATGGCAACATTTGGTTTTTTAATTTGACCCGCCTCCTTTTTGACCATAAATGGAAGGAAAATAAACTGTAGATGAAGTTTTTCACTGATACCTGTGTGTGGTAGGAATAATTTCACCACTGCAGATAAAAGATTTCCATCTGTAGTAATTTATTTTTAGTGGTGTGGGTGAGATGGTGCAGAGGTGGGTTGCAAAGCGGTTTGCAGCTGCTTATTGTTTTGAATTTACAATCTAATGCTAAGTCACAAACATAAACGGATCTCAACACTCCGGCTTTGGAAAGTGAAGCTTTATTTCTTAATAAACTCTTTGAAGACCAAAACTGAAGTGGAGATGTTTGTCCATACTGCCCAACACAACGTTTTACTGAAAACCAAACACAGGAGGGATGATGATCTGAGTGGACCACAGCTACAGCTCAGACCATCAACAGGACAATGATCCAAGCACAGCAGCAGATCTGCAGCAGAACGACTGAAGAAGAATCGAGCTGCTGCAACGGTGCAGAGTCCAGACCTCAACCTGACTGAGACCTTGGACCAGCTGTGCATAAATGAATGCTGCATTTGCAGTAAGTCTGCAGCTTGTGCACCGGACTAGACATAGTACTTGAAAGTCTCGGTGCTTTAACTTAAAACATTTACAGCTTGTTAAGCCTCTTTCCACACATCAAATACTGAATTCTCCAACAGTTACGACAAGAAATTTGACGTGTATAAAATCCAGACGCGTGAACGCAACACATGACGTTTGCCGTCCCCGTCGGTGCTGATGGAAATGGGTTTGGAGTCCTTTCCATTCCACTTCGCTGAGGGAGTTGAGAGGAAAAGCACCATGTGCAGCTCTGACTGTGAAGAGTACAGAGGCATGAAGACCTGTAGTGCACTTCATGCCTGTAAACTCACCTGTGCTCTCGAAAAGTGAGTACAGGAGTCCGCCATTCGAACGGACGAGCGTCTCAAACATCCTCACATCCAACCCCACAGTTTGGTTGTGTTTCTAAGCCTGTCACCTTGTAAACGTTAACACTGTGTTCAGACCAAATGTTCAGCAGTTCTGCCCGAGGTTACCCTGTAAATCTGTGAATATTTGTGCGTAAAGTAGGAGAAATTAAACATATTTTCACAGAAAATCCTGTCATTTTGCTTATTTTTCTCCTGCGTCTTGTTTTGTTCTGCCTCTATATAAACGATGAATTCTACACATGCTGGGTGTTACTGGGAGAACCAGTCCTACAGTCTTTGTACGAGACCCCATTACAGGTCTCATGCTCAAAGGCCAAACTCTTAGATGTAGAGGTATCAGGCGAAACGTCACCTGAAGTCTTAAATGAAGATCATTGTTCTGTATTCATGGCTGAGTTTTTCTCAGCAGTCTTGAGGGTGTGAGCTCGTTAATGTGTTTGGCACCTGCAGCAGGTTTGAGACTGCACACCACAGAACCTGCAAATTCAGAAAACTGTGTAAAGAACACGTTTGCAGAAGGATTCGGTGCATCTGTTAACTCACGGAGGAAGGACGGGCTGGCATGTGGCATCCCTTCTGTTAGTGCAGTAATCCCGAATGTCTAAACAAGGCCATATCTCACCACGGCGACACCGGTATCCTAGCAGCTGCACCCGATGGTGTTTGTTGGCACGGAAACAGCACAGAGGCTTAGAGGTGAGCACACACACAGAGACAGACTGATGAGTCTTTTCAGCTCTCTGTAAATAAGGTAAATGCAGGATGCAAAGTACCGGGAAATGTGCAAACACGGGCTTTACTACCCAGAGAGGATATCAGTCAGTCAGAGATGCCGTCTGCAGCCGTCTTTCATGAACATCAAATATATTATCAACTAAATCATCAGATGAAGCTGATGCACAAATGCACAGAACATTTAGGTGAATTAATCATGCACATGTGAGCCTCAGCGGGAGGCTCGGGTACATCTGCATTTAGCCCCACTTATCCTTCCGGGGTCCCCTTACACTGTGACACAGCTGCAAGCGTCGCACAATCAGCAGCTACATCTGGGAGCTCAGTTTGGCTGAATGCACCACAAGTGTTCCCTCGGTCTGATTTATGCAAATCAGCGACGCACATCTTTAAAGACGGAGCGTTTCAGCTGCTGCAGAGGTCAGCTGGCTGCACATGTTTTGTCACATGTGCTTTTCCCCTCTAATTAAGACTTCACACACCCCGCTTGATGTGGAAGGCTAAAGGCTCATTTCTCCTCCAAGAGCAATTAATAAAAGGGGAGAGCGTCTGTGAAGTGTCAGCAGCCCTCTGCTTACAGCCGACAGCAGCAGCGACACAAACAACAGCAAAGTGAAAACAGATTTTTAGATAATGACCCAGACACAGCTCGCTCCCATCGCACTGCAAAATAATTGAATTCGCTCAGTTATCATCAGGAGCACCTCAGAGGTCAGATGAGGGAAGCTCTGCTGTGACAACATCCTTAAAGAGGAATACCACCAGGACCTGAGGACATGAGCGGTTCTGAGCGATGTATGGAAAATAGTGTGTTTGACTGCAGCACGGACGTTAGATCGCCGTCAGCAGGCAGTCGACGCCACAGCCTCTGATCTGGGAGTTATTTTTACAAACATAATCATCTGTTGCTCTTGAGCTTCAGGTGCAGACATCCTCCTTCAGGCTTTTCTGGCATATTCATGGTTCCCTCAGTTACAGCAGCCCAGACCATCACGCCACCGCTGCTGTGATGTTCTCTTTATGAAACGCTCTTATTTTGATGTGACGGGACTCAAACCTTCTCAGGGATCATCCAGATGTTTTCTGGCAGATGTGACACGAGCCGTGGTCAGCAGTGGTTTTCTCCTTAAACTTTCCCATGGACGCCATTTTTGCCCCGTCTCTTTCTTGTTGTTGAACCATGACCTCTGACCTTAACTGAGCCGAGCGAGGCCTGCAGGTCTGTAGATGCTGCTCTGGGTTCTTCTGTGACCTCCTGGCTGAGTCGACGTGCTCCTGTGAAGGTTCAGCACCGTTCCGGGTTTCCTCCATGTGTGGATAACGGCGCTCGCTGTGGTTCACAGAGGCTGGCTCAGGCTGATGATGTCACTTGTTTCTTTAGATCGCAGCGTGATGCTGACGTGCTGCTGGTTGAGACCTTTCAGTCTGCTTCACTTTATCAAGCAGCTTCTGTTTAAGGGATTTATCATCCAGCAGGTGTGACAGTGATCAGGTCTTTTCGGAAGCTCAATAAAATGTGGTTAACGAGAGTTAATTCATTTTTAACAAGAAGGTCCAGGTGGGTTTGGATTTGTGTTTGTATTTACTCTCGTTATCTTTGTCTAATAGTCAAATTACTTTGATGATCTGAAACATCTGAGGCCTCCAAATCTGAGGCCATGGTTCTCAGCCGGAAAAGGGTGGAGTGCCCACTCCGGGTCGGGGATGAGTTCCTGCCCCAAGTGGAGGAGTTCGAGTATCTCGGGGTCTTGTTCGCGAGTGATGGGAGAAGGGAGCCGGAGATCGACAGACGGATTGGGGCTGCAGCTGCAGTGATGCGGACGCTGCACCGGTCCGTCGTGGTGAAGAGGGAGCTGAGTGTAAAAGCGAAGCTCTCAATTTACCGGTCGATCTACGTCCCTACCCTCACCTATGGCCACGAGCTGTGGGTAGTGACCGAAAGAACGAGATCGCGGATACAAGCGGCAGAAATGAGCTTCCTCCGAAGGGTGGCTGGCCTCTCCCTTAGAGATAGGGTGAGAAGTTCGGCCATCCGGGAGGGCTCAGAGTAGAGCCGCTGCTGCTCCACATCGAAAGGAGCCAGCTGAGGTGGTTCGGGCATCTGACAAGGATGCCCCCTGGGCGCCTCCTGGGTGAGGTGTTCCAGGCATGTCCCACCGGGAGGAGGACACGCTGGAGAGATTATATCTCTCGGCTGGCCTGGGAACGCCTTGGTGTTCCCCCGGATAAGCTGGAGGAGGTGGCTGGGGAGAGGGAGGTCTGGACCTCTTTGCTTAGGCTGCTACCCCCGCGACCCGGCCTCGGATAAAACGGATGAAGATGGATCAGAAACACGTCTTAAATTTGACTTCTCAGTTCTCAAACACAGAAATGAGACTAAAACCTCTAAAATTGTAGTTGGAATTCTGTAGCAACACACATCCGCCTCCTACGCTGGAAAATATAAAAAATTTAAAGTGGACAATGGAAGTTTGAAGTTAATGAGGGACAAACGCAGAGAGCTGTGTGCTTGTTTCCACCTCTGAACGATTCTTACACATCTGCTGTTTGTTTACGGAGCCAAAAAGAAAGAACCTCCGAACAATCGAAGAGGTGCTTTAATTCAGAATTATTTATGGAGCTAAAGAGACGCTGAATCACGAGTGATGGGAAGCAGAGTGGGAGAGAAACAGGCTGACTGGTGTGGGCGTTATACTGGACCATCATAGTGAAGAGAGAGGCGTGCCTCCTGGGTTTTCTGGTCACACCCACTCGGGAGGAGATCCCAGCAGAGACGCAGGGGCTAAAAATTGGGGTGTTAAATATTGAAGCTGTTCACTGAGACGAACACCGAAACCTCAAAGTTTTAATCTTAGCCTTGACCAAGGTCAAAGTCCCGCACTTTGTGACCTGCTACAAAAATGTTTTAGATTAAGAAAATTCATATTTCTGGTTTAAGGATTCAGAATAATTTCCCACAAGCTCAAAGCCTTCGCAGGCTAAAGATGAGGTTAAAATGTGAATAAAGACATGAGACTGCCGTCACAGAGAGGGGAAATCCCTAATATGGTCAGAAGCTTTAAGGGCAGAGGAGAAAACATTTAAAAAAATCATAAAAAATAAAAATATGCAGCTGGAAATGAGCAGATTCAAACATTCAACACCAGGATAGGGTGGAAATTACAAATGAGTTTAATTGCCCATCACATCACTTTGCCAGTGATTATTAGCTTAGTTGATAAAATACCACAAACTTAACTTAAAATTCTTGGTGGTTTACAGACAAAAGCTTTAATTTTTCATGTAAAATGTGAAGTTCGGGGACAGGACTTCAGTTTGTCGTCTTTTCAGCGTTCAAGAAAGAAATATTTAAAAACAAAAGTCTGCAGTGAAACGAACAAAACACCACCTGAGTGTACAATGAGCACGGTTTATATAAAAGCCATGCAGTAATCTGACTCACACGGTCACAGCGAGCGGCTCTTGCTGTGAATTTGACATTTTAAGAAAAATACAGAAACTCTGTGGGCGTGGTCAGTCCTCTTCCTCGGTGTCCAGCGGTCCTCGGTTTGCAGGGAGCGATGCTGTGATTCGCTGCCAGCGGTTTGGTGGCCAGATGATGTGAGAGGCCCGACCGTGAAGCAGCCCCACAGACACCTGGGAAAAAAACAGCATCACAACTTTTAACAAATGGTCAAATTAAACAAATTTTATTTGATCGTTTTACCACTTTCGAATTCCCTGCTATTGTTTTTAGCAGCCCTCCAGTTTTATCTGTCACACTTTACAGACCACCTAAAGACAGAAGTTTTAACAAACACACACTCAAAATCACTTTAACCTGCACATAGATAATCCTTCTGACCCTGCAGCAAAAGAATTCTTAAACGTTCTTCACTGTTTGGATTTTACCAGCACGTCACGCAGCCGACTCACAACAGAGGACACACTCTGGACCTGGTCATCACCCATGGGCTGTCCACAGCGTGTCCTCTGTTGTTGACTTGGCTGTCTCTGACCACTACTGTGTGTTTATTAACATTACCGGTTTTATTCAGCGGGAGACCTCGGTGCGAACTGTGAGGAGGCGCTATCTGACCTCTGAAGTGGCTGCAAATTTTACCAGGGTTTTAGACGAATGCCCCCCTGCGATTTTACCTGCACCCTGCGATTTGATTTTTAGTTATTTCAACAGCAAACTGAAGAAAAGCCTTGACTCCGTTGCTCCACTCACCACCAAAAAGATTAACGTAAAACATGTATCACCCTGGAGAAACGAAGAAGTCAAAACACTCAAAGAGATTGCAGGGCAGCAGAAAGGAGGTGGAGGAAAAATAAAAATGTAATTAAGCATCAAAATCAAAAACTTAAAATGTACAATAATACATTAAGGAACTCAAGAAATTCATACTTCGCCAAAATAATCAGTATAAACAAAAATAATCCCAAGGTCCTCTTTTCCACCATAGATCATTTATTTAACCCTGATTTTAACAGCTCCCAAAGAACCCCCACAGACTCGCTCTGTGAGCAGTTTGCAGACCACTTCAGGGGAAAGGTCAGCGCCATCAGATCTGATATTTTATCTAATCGCGATATGACTGTAAACACATCTGAGGGCTCGATTGTACCTGAGGAGACACTGGACAGCTTTGTCCTGGTTAATGCTGAGAACCTTCAGAAGGTTTTCTCCACAGTGAGACCCACCACATGTCTTTTAGATCCAATCCCTTCTTCACTCTTTAAAACACTTTATGGATTTTTTGAGGCTGAGCTTTTATACATGATGAATTGCTCTCTTCAGTTGGGTGTCTTCCCTGCTGCCTTTAAAACGGCAGTGGTGAGGCCCCTTCTGAAGAAGAGCAATTTGGATTGTAATGATTTTAATAACTACAGACCTGTATCCAACTTACCATTTTTAAGTAAAGTCTTAGAAAAACTTGTTTTTACTCAGATTAATGACTTTTTGAATGATAGACAGATCCTGGAGATACTCCAGTCTGGATTTAGGGTGAACCACAGCACAGAGACGGCTCTCCTAAAGGTTTTAAATGATCTTAGATGTAACTGGGACGCCCAACAGCTCTCAGTCCTGGTGCTGCTGGATCTAAGCGCAGCCTTTGATACAGTAGACCACGCTGTTCTTTTAAACAGACTGAAACACATGGTGGGCCTCTCTGGTGCTGTACACAACTGGTTCACTTCCTGTCTCTCTGACAGAACTTTTATGGTGAGTATGGATACATGCTGTTGGACACATGAACAATAAACGTACGACTGTTCCCACCACTAACACGTGACCCTACGCTGTGTTCACTGCATCATTCCATGTTTTGGCACTGATCACCACCTGCACTCATGTATATATCTTTCTACGTAGCACTTTTAATTCTTATTCTTACTTTTATTTTTTCATGTCTATTTAAGCGCAATTTATGACAGTATGTTTGCACTGAAGCACCGCAGCAATTTCCTAATGTTGTAAACCTGCCCAACATTTGGCAATAAAACCCTTTCTGATTCTGATTCTGATGCTCCTCTAAGATCCATAGAAGGACATGTGGTGTGCCTCAAGGGTCGGTTCTAGGCCCTGTACTTTTTAATTTGTATATGCTCCCTCTCGGCAGTGTCATCAGGAGGCATGGAGTGAACATCCACAGTTACGCTGATGACATGCAGCTGTACATCTCCGTGTCTCCTGATGACACCAGACCAATGGATGCTCTTTTTAACTGTATTCTAGATATAAGATCTTGGATGGCAGAAAACTTTTTACAGCTTAACCAGGACAAAACTGAAGTTTTAATCGTCGGTCCCAAGGCTCAGAGAGAGAAACTCTTGTCTAAATTAGAGGCATTTTCACTATGTCCTTCGCTACAAGTGAAAAACCTGGGTGTTATTTTTGACTCTGAGCTTGGTTTTATCCCACATATTAAACATGTGACCAAAATTGGATTTTATCATCTAAAGAATATAGCCAGAGTCGCCCTATTCTCTCTCGGGCCAACACGGAGATGCTGATGCATGCTTTTATTACCAGTCGCATTGATTACTGCCCTGCTCTCTGGTCTTCCTAAGAAGAATATTTCAACTTTACAACTTTTGCAAAACTCGGCAGCTCGTGTGCTGACGAAGACCAGAGGGCGGTCATGTATCCATGACCGCTTATGTTAAGACCAGGACATGTCCTTCAACGCACATATTAAACAAATATGTAAGACTGATTTCTTCCATTTGCGCAACATCTCTAAAGTTAGAAATATCCTGTCTCAGAGTGACGCTGAAAAACTAGTTCATGCATTTATTACTTCCAGGCTGGACGACTGTAACTCATTATTATCAGGAAGTCCTAAAAACTCGCTGAAAAGCCTTCAACTAATCCAAAATGCTGCAGCAAGAGTCCTGACAGGGACCAGAAAGAGAGAGCAGATTTCTCCTGTTTTGGCTTCCTGTCCAGAATTGGATTCAAAATCCTGCTCCTCACATACAAGGGCTTAAATAATCAGGCCCCATCTTATCTTAATGACCTTGTAGTACCATATCACCCTATTAGAGCACTTCGCTCTCGCTCTGCAGGCCTACTTGTTGTTCCTAGAGTATTTAAAAGTAGAATGGGAGGCAGAGCCTTCAGTTTTCAGGCCCCTCTTCTGTGGAACCAGCTTCCAGTTTGGATTCAGGAGACAGACACTATCTCTACTTTTAAGATTAGGCTTCAAACTTTCCTTTTTGCTAAAGTATATAGTTAGGGCTGGACCAGGTGACCCTGAATCCTCCCTTAGTTATGCTGCAATAGACGTAGGCTGCCGGGGGATTCCCATGATGCATTGAGTTTTTCCTTTCCAGTCACCTTTCTCACTCACTATGTATTAACAGACCTCTCTGCATTGAATCATATCTGTTATTAATCTCTGTCTCTCTTCCACAGCATGTCTTTATCCTGTCTTCCTTCTCTCACCCCCACCGGTCGCAGCAGATGGCCCCGCCCCTCCCTGAGCCTGGTTCTGCCGGAGGTTTCTTCCTGTTAAAAGGGAGTTTTTCCTTCCCACTGTCGCCAAAGTGCTTGCTCATAGGGGGTCATATGATTGTTGGGTTTTTCTCTGTATCTATGAAGCGCCTTGAGGCGACTTTTGTTGTGATTTGGCGCTATAGAAATAAAATTGAATTGAATTGAATTGACGAGAGTGTGGGGAGTGAATTGGAGGGTGGGGTGGGCTGCTTTTAACCATGTAAAGCACTTTGTGCTACATTTCTGTGTGAAAAGTGCTTCATAAATAAAGACTGATTGATGGATTGATTGACAACAGAGAGCCGATTCAGAGAGCGAGAGCCATCCTGTCCTCAGGTACTACAGGTGTCCTAAAGTGAGCCTGTCATGGAAATCTCTTTGAGCATCGCTGACTGAAGCAGCTGTGGTGGAGCAGGAGGTTTGGGGGTGACAGAGGAACAGGTGGGCGGAGCAGACTGCAGTTTAGAGGGTGAGTAGCCTCATATACGGAGGTGGCTGCCTTCCTGTTTGTCCTAGCAGCAGGACAGCACAGAGGGCAGTGACCTGCAGACGTGGGTGGAGCCCTGCAGGATGGAGCGCGTGCGGTCAGGGTTAGCAGTCGAGTAGTCAGTTTTGCATAGCAGGGTGTCTGAGGATGTTTGTGGCAGCCATGGAGCAGGTCAACCTGTCATAACAGGTGATTCAGGGCTCCCTTTATAACCTGCTTTAGCAGGTCCAGCAGACCATCTGTTATTAAAGGGAACAAAGTGAACTGAGCACAGTTCAGGCTTTTCAGTTCTACAATCGATGGCTTTCTCTCTGTAATGCTCCACCGTCTTTGACTGACGTTGGGGGGAAAGTGCAGTTCGTGACAGCATGAGTCTTATAAAACCACAAAATCTGAAGAATTCAAAATGAAAAGATTATTGGGCAATGAAATGTGAACAGAAATAAGTAAAACACGGCTCCAGCTGCCTTTCTTTGCTCAAAAACCCTCCTCTAGTACACGTGTCAAGACCTGTCATCCAAAAATAGTTTTCTCATTGTTTATTCTCCAGTCACATCACGGAGCTGGAGGCCTCAGCAGCCAATGCTTGCTTCAGAGATGGATACCAGATCTGCAACCACAGTAAGTTGCCATTTTCAAAGTGCCCCATCAGAGCCAGTCTACTTTATGTTGCAAATGCATGCAATCATCATCTCATTGAATCTGATTGTGCTGACGGGGATAAAATGGCAACAACTGCAAATATGTTGCCGTCTACATACAGAGAAAGTGCAAAATGGTAAAGCTGCTCTGCAATCTTCCTTTTCTAAGGAATATAACCAGAATACAACCAGCCGAGTCAGCGTGTCACAGATGATGTCGACACTCTGACTCAGATTTACTGCAACACGTTGGTAAATCTGCAAACCTTCACCAACCTGAGAGTGACGGCGCTCCAACCCACCACGGTGGTTTGGAGAAAGGTCGCCTCCACCAGTACCGTCGCCTCGCCATTAAATTCGGTCACCCAGAGGTTGAGGGTGTTTCTGGGTGACCGCTTTGATTGTACTTGCAAACTCCAACAGCAAAAGATGTTTGAACTTGTTTAAATGTAGTCTTTGGTTGGGCTTAGTCACAACCACAGCTCAGTTATGCTGAATGTAAAAAAACTGAAGCCTTCTTTGA